CTCCCAACATTAATCTTCCCACATGGTAAGCTTTTGGGTATTTTTTTATAACCAAAAAAGGAAAAAAAGATTATGCTATTGAATAACAAGCAAAATTAGAAATAATATAAGCATCTTTCAGAATATTTCTATATTTATTTGTTACTTTATCAATAACAATTATGACTCATTCTATTTTTGGCTTTATTTCCTGTGCAAATCTCCACGGACAAATTGTGGATACATTCATGCACATGAACAGTACCTTTCAATCTCGCCACATTATTGGATCAATTATTTGATCATATCCTGTTTTCTTTTTTTCTGCTTTACCAAACAATTCTATAAATTTTTTTTCTAAAACTATTTTTTAAATAAAATTCGAGATCAACTACTACCAAATGATTCAAATTTGAGCAACATCATCAAGCTCTTAACAAAAGAGAACTCTACAAACATGATTTTTTTTTTCATTAAACTTAAACTCAAGGCCCCAATTATAATATATATATATATATATATATATATTCTTATGGATGAAACAATCACATTATCAATAGCTGTGGAATCGAGTAGGAGAAATTTAGGACCCGTTCAAAAAACTGTTTTACTGTTTTTTTAAAAAGAAAAAAGAAAAATTGTTTGAGTAAATATTTTAAGTTTAATTATTTTTAAAACTATTATAATTATTATTTTTAAAAATGAAAAACAAAACATCTTAGAATTATCATTTTATTTTTTATTTTGAAAATTTACTATATTTAATTATTAAAAACTATCATAAGCTATGATCAATCAACCCTTATAAACTGTTATCAATAATTATCGGCAACCATCATTATCGCTCAACTTTTTAACTATAAGACAGTTTTTCAATTAACGTGATTAAACAAATTTTATTTTAAACAACATTTGAGAAAAAAATAGAAACACAGTTTAGCATGTGCCCTTACTTTCTCTTTAACAAGGTCGAAAGTTTGAATCCCATGCATGGATAGAAAAAAATCATATTGAGAGATTTATCACTAATTAAATCTGACAATACTTAAACTTGATTTAATATTATTGAATCTTGGGTAGGTATGTTAAGAAAAAGGATAAAAAAAAAGGAGAAAAAATCACGCTGGGCAGCTATCTTTAACAATTGAACTTGACAATGATCAAATCTAGCCAATAACACTATCTACTAAATAGATATATAAATATGCACACACACACACACGTATATAAGGTAAAAAAATAAATAAATTAGCCCCTAAATTAGAAGTCTAAGAGTTTCAAATATCCTAAACTTATTTTTTACACAATATTTCTTTTTAACTTTTAAAAATAGTACAATCTAACTTCTACCACTTTAACAAAAGTTAACTTTAATTATTAATTAACCAAAAAATAACCCTAAAATTATAGAAAATGACAAAAAAATTACAACAAAAGATTCAAAAATTACAGACAAAACTTAGAAAATTATAAAAAATGATTAAGAAAATTTTCTTGATCTTTTTTTGCAATTTTGAATGTTTTTTATCATCTTCTAATTAACTAATAATTAAAATTAATTTTTGTTAAGAGTAAAGTCAAACTACATTGTTTTTAAAAATTAAAAAATATTATATAAAAAATAAATTTAAGATTCTAGAGACTTTCAAGCTTGTATAACTTGGAGCCCAATTTGCTTTTCTTTATCCTTTACATGTGTGCCGGAGAGAGAGAAAAGAGAGGGAGAGAGAGTGCACTTAAATAACCCAGTGCATTGTACCTTGCTAGTGTTTGAGAAATCATAAATGGAAAAATTATAATCCAATAATGACACATGATAGTCGATAGTTCGTTGTCCTCATACATATACTTAGGAAAGTATACTCACCATTCAAAATTAATTTTTTATTCAAATTCTAAAATTATATAAACAGTGGTTGACACTAATTTGGAGCATAGCTTCAGATGAGTGGATAGCTACAACATGTGAAAGATTCCTTTTAAAACACCTATTATTGTACTGTATGTCTCCAAGGGAAAAAACTTTTTGTGCATTCGCACACGTATACTTAATATATTAATTTTTGTTAATATGAGTATTCGAGAGAGATTAGAAATTTGACTTTTTTTAAAAAAAATAATTATTATAACTGCTTTAGAAATAAAAATATTATAAACGTTGTTTATGTTAATTTTGAACAGTGAACACTACAAATAAAAATCCTTCATTAAAGGGAAATACCAAAAGCGCATTGTTCCACTGTAACAGGCAGAAGTCCAAAAGAAAAACCTATTATGTAAGAGAGTCTCTCACACTTATAAATCCTACACTATTTGTGAGACTCTCAATGTGGAATTTATGACAATGCCACCCTATTGAGAGCTAATGTTCCCGACAATTTCACTCTATAGCACTTCATTCGGCCTTTTGTGTGTCAGAACCTTTTATAGGTAACCTTTTTCATGACATCAGCCTCTATATAAAAGCACCAATGTAACAAGCATAAGTCAAAAAGAAGAACCTATCCTAAAAGACTAGCTTATTAAATGAAAGAGCCTCTCATACTTATAAATTTCACACCACTTGTGAGGTTTTTTAATGTGAGACTCATGACATCCATCTTCTACTGACCAAAGATAAAAGGACAACAAGGAAAATGAAGATCAAGGACACGTACATTTTTCTTTTAAAATTTTTTCCCAACCTTATTTATACTATAGACACAACACAAAAAAGTTACTAGTGGCTGATGATTCAATGGTTGTCCTAGCAATGTCTTGAGTTAAAGCCTTGTATATATTTTCTTAAAAAAAGTTTATGTATAAAAATAACCATAAATTTGTTTTCCTAAAGGCTTCTAGTTTTTTATATTCTTAAATTATTAATGATACATGAATATCTATTAACTTTAAAAAAAGGTCAACCTTTCCATATTCATAAAGTTCTATTTTTAGAACTTAACAGTTAATGTCATATCATTTAATATTTACTTCATTTATTAAATTAATGAATACTCATACCTCATTATTGATTTAATGATAACAAAAGTTTTTGGATAAAAAGTTTATGAATATTTTTTACACCTTAACTCTAATAAAAATTGCCATTAAGAAAACTTTATATTCTTATGATCAAATCCGACTCAATCCAAATTATTGGGGAGCTAATATGACTTCTACAAATTGGTTGGTAATCCACCCCCCCTCCTATATATATCAAGTATAACAAACTACACACTTTAGAAGCCTGGTATTATGTTATGACTCATTTTAAAACTACATATAAATACACTGACCACTTTATGAAATAGTGTTACCGGCTCCATATAAACACAAGGAATCCACTATATAAAAAACATCGCGTAGAAAAGTACACTACTTATAAATAGCAAATAATGCAATTCATATTATACTTTGAGTAAAAATGGGTCCCTAATACTTTATACATACATACATATATATATATATATATAAACAAAAAATTTAAATAAGTTAGGTCTTAGGAGCTCATCAAGGTCAAGATAAAGCTCAACGAATACTTACAGAAGTATATATAAATTGCTTATCAACAACGTTATTACATTGACAATAAAATTTGAGCCTACGACTTTTTGAATTGTGGGCCAAATTCTTTACCAACTGGAGTTTTGATGTTATATGCATTCCTAATTGTTTGGTAAAACAAAAGGAAAAGATGTTCCATTAAGATTACTCCTCTAATGAGATAAGGTTTGAAGAAATGGCTGAGGCAAGGAATGACTAAGAAGCAAAAGTTTTTTTGTCATTTGTACAATAAAAAATAAAACTTTCATCTGCAAAACAATAAATGACGACGAACTCCAAAGTTGAAAAGATGTGTCTTTAAAATGATAACCATTTGGTAAGCTTCATCGTTGCTTCAAAAGTTTCATAATAAAGGTCAAATATTACAAAGTGAATAAGCATTTGATCTTAGTAAGCATTCCATTTTTAACAATTTTTCTGTACCTAGCTACGGCCTTTTCCCTTACTAGAGAAGAAAATGGTGGTTTTAAACTCAAACATATATAGTACACATTAACCTACACTGACATAACAATAATTTAGTACCATTAACATAAAAAATTAATAATTCAAAAATAAAATATAATATAAGTCGACCATATACGATTCATGTGAACCCAAAATCTAGAGCAGCTCTGCTACTTCTAAGAGAGAGAGAGAGAGAGAGACAGACAGACAGACAGACAGACAGACTCAAGATTATGTATCAGAAGCTAATAAATTCATCTATTCAGACAATTGGTGCAGAAGAACATGATATATAGTGCAGAAGAACTCATTTGCTTTTTGCTCTTTTCTTCAAATATAATATGAAGTGTCGATATTTCATATTTGATTATTTTTTATTGTTCTCTTTTACATCGTATATCAAGATTTTCAGGATAAAAATTTCATATATGTATGTGAGGGAGAGAGAGCATGAACTGCCCAGATTTAATCAGCCAAATCTACTGTTTCAGCAGTAAAAGAAAAATCAAACTCAGATCACATATATTCATTTTAGTAAGTGTAAGAAATTTAAGTCGACCAAGAAATTTACTCAACACATACCCACCCGTGAGATGAAACCAAAGAATTTTCTAGAGAAAGATTGACCACTAAAATAAACTCTCTAACACTAAAAGCAAACTCGATAAAAATATCAAAGGTTGGAATTTTGTTTGTGTTAATTAAGGAAGTGAAGTTGCTCGGCCGCTTCCTACACATCACTTTCAGCACAGAGATGCAGAAAAAAATTGAGAAGAGAGATAAAACCATGAAGAATGCGTAATAAATGGGCTTAGTGGCAGCCTCTCCTTCCGGGTCTGGTCAAAGTTTCAAGAAAGGAATTCAGCCACCAAGTGGGGTCCATCCGAAACCAGTCGCAAGGCAATTCCATAACGTAACCAAGGCTCTCAATCTTTATTAGGCTTGGCTGTGTTCAGGACAAAAAAGCAAGGTAGTGAAGCTTAACCATATATTATTATCAAGTTCTGTGTCCTAATCCCTTAACCATCGCCTATAAATACCACTTCCGCGAAGCATTAATCTGCATTGAGCAACTTAAGCTATTGAGATAGATAGAGAGAGAGAGAGAGAGAGTGTTGTTAGAGATATGGAGAACTTGAAATTCCCAGTTATTAGCTTGGACAGCCTTAATGGTGATGGGAGGAAGGCCACCATGGAGAAGATCAAAGATGCTTGTGAAAACTGGGGATTCTTTGAGGTATATATACCCTTTAAGAACTTTCTGGGTTTTTCAAGTTATTATTAGAGTTAGATCTCTGTTTCAGGTTTGTTTTTGCTGTTCGATTTTTTTTTTTTTTTTTATGAGTGGCTTTCTAATTTGGCTTTCAAATTAAAACTGTAGCTGGTGAATCATGGAATACCACATGATTTAATGGACACTGTGGAGAGGTTGACCAAAGATCACTACAGGAAATGCATGGAAGAGAGGTTTAAAGAATTAGTGGCAAGCGAAGGGCTAGACGCTGTTCAAACTGAGGTCAAAGACATGGATTGGGAGAGCACCTTCCATTTGCGTCACCTTCCTGAGTCAAATATTTCTGAGATCCCTGATCTGACTGATGAGTACAGGTATACAGACACACAAGCAAAAATCATTCATCCACATACCCTTTATGAATTTATGAATCTCCACGTGAAGTGTGAACAGAATTTACAGGAAAAAAAAAAATTGACCCAGAAACAGAGGTCCCCATGTGAACAGAATTCCCACCTTGATGTAATTTGTTTCATTATTTAATGTTTGATTCTGAGCGCCCCCCTATAAATCACTATTCACAATGATTTATGCAGGAAGGTGATGAAGGAGTTTGCTTTAAGGTTAGAGAAGCTAGCTGAGGAGCTTCTAGACTTGCTATGCGAGAATCTTGGGTTAGAGAAAGGTTACCTCAAGAAGGCCTTTTATGGATCAAGAGGTCCTACTTTTGGTACCAAGGTTGCCAACTACCCTCCTTGTCCTAAACCAGAGCTGGTCAAGGGTCTTCGTCCCCACACCGACGCTGGCGGCATCATCCTTCTCTTCCAGGACGACAAGGTCAGTGGCCTTCAGCTGCTCAAAGATGACCAGTGGATCGATGTGCCTCCAATGCGCCACTCCATAGTCGTCAACCTCGGTGACCAGCTCGAGGTAAAATCATTCACTCTTATATTTCCGATAAGACAAACACATAAACACCATGAAGTTTCAATGCAAGGAACTCACAAGAACGCAATAAAAAGGATTTATTTCTCGCAGACATTTCATCAAACATCTTACCTGCAAAGCTCCCGATTCTCATAAAAATTTACCATGAAAACACAGGTGATCACAAATGGGAAGTACAAGAGTGTGGAGCATCGTGTGATCGCACAAACAGACGGAACCAGAATGTCCATAGCCTCATTCTTCAATCCAGGCAGCGACGCTGTGATCTACCCAGCACCAACATTGGTGGAGAAGGAGAAGAACGAAGAGTACCCCAAGTTTGTGTTCGAAGATTACATGAATCTGTACGCGAGGCTCAAGTTCCAGGCCAAAGAACCAAGATTTGAAGCCTTCAAAGCATCAAATATGAATCTGGGTCCAATCGCAACTGCTTAAGAAGGAGCTAATAAACTGTCGTTTGACATGAAGATTATGTTATATGTATCTCCATAAGTAGGAAGATTCCAGTTGGAAAAGACGATGACATCTCAAACTGGATATTATATATTATATTACATTAGCGCTTTACTTAAAGTTGAATTGTGGTGAAGAAGTTGATTTCTGTATGAAGTAAACTTTCAACCAAAATCAGTTTATATATATATATATATATATATTAATATTTAATTAGCATAAATTGTTCTTGTCTTTGTCATATTTCTTCTTCCCATCGGAAATCACTGGAAATCCGCACTAACTTGCTCAGTTTTTTTTTTTTTTTTTGAGCCAACTTGCTCAGTTAAACTAATAAATAATTAAATTAGTATTTTAATCAATTTAATAATAATTTATTTATAATTAGGTTTGATTGGGAAACGATTTTGATGATTAATTTTTAAATTAATAATTTAACTGGCTTTTTGTTTTTCTGACGTACCTGGATTGTTGGACCACTGTACAAGTCAAAGTGCAAAGTCATTAGTATAACCAATTTATTGAAAATTTCATTACATTAAAAAAATTAATTGACTGCTATGACTTTTTTTTTAGTGGAAAATTATAATTTTTTTTATTTTGACAGTTGAAATGCAATTTGTAAAATATATCAATAACACTCATACAGAAAAAGTGACTATTACGAGCATATTAGCTATATTGAGCAAATTATGGAGATTTTCTTAAATATTTTGAAAATCATATTTTTTTAAGCTACCAAAGTATTAATAGGATATAACTTACGCAGCTGCGGAAAGTATATTTTGGTTGAAAATATGTTTTTGGGTTAAATAAATAACAATTGAAGAAAGAATAGCCAATTTTTATGTTTAGAAAAAGTCCGTATATATCTAAAAAATATCAGTTAATTAATATAGTTTTGAAAATTTTGAAACCGATTTAAAATATAAGTATTTTTTCTTAGCTAATTTTTATTCAAAATATAAATAATTTAGTATATGTAAATTTTCTTCATTTTTTCATTTATATTTACTAAACTAGATATTTGTACAAATATATCTTTTATTCATCATAGAGTACATTAATGGTAATTTGGATTAAAAATAAAATATATACATATATATATATTTATAAAAATTGAGATTTTTATAACATGCAAATTTTTTTCAAAAACTACTTATATTTTAAAACAGAGGGAGTAATTTATAATTTTTTTGACCAGTTGTAATTTATAATTAAGACTTTTGTATATGAAATTCTATATATATGTCTGACTTTTAGACCTAACATTTATTAAATTAATTTTTGAACCAAGCTGTTGCCGTTTGTTCCCATTTTCTAATTAGTTAAATAGTCAATAATATAAGTTGATAATTAAAAAAAAAAGTTAGAAAAAATATTATTATTTAATTAGCGCAACTTGTTCTTGCCTTTATCCCATTTCTTTTTCCGGCTGTACAACGGACCCACCTGGGCCTTTGGGCCACCATAGAGATATGATACGATTGTGTGACCATTTTATTGAAAATTATTATTATAATACAAAAATAAATTAGCTACTATTTTTTTTTTTTGACTAATACAATATAGCGATTGTGGAAGATAATGAGTGTATAAAATAAATTACAGAGATTTCTCGTAAATTACAAATCATCTATGACTATAATAATTACTATGTCATTTGTTTTGGTGATCCCTCTAATAGTAAAAAAAAAAAAAAAGTCTTGTATGGTGGCTCTTTGATCATTCAAGTACACTATCTCGCAATTCAAGGAGTGGAGCCCTGATTTTAACGTAAATGCAACGCGGTGAGAAAGTTGGCTGTCTCGATCAGAGTCTCAAACCTCCCATTATTCTTGTATGGTGAAATAACTCTTGGCCTGAGGTCTCATCTTTAAATGATCTTTTGAATATTAGGAAAAATGTAGGTAATATTGGATGGTAGAATTGATAATTTGGGTGAACCATACTTATTTAAGTTAAATTTATTTAAATTAAATTTAAAATATTTTAATATATAAAAAAGCTCATATAATCAAACACGACTTAATCTTTAAGGCTTTTAAGCTTATTGAAATTGGCCCGAATACTCAAATGGATAAATGTTATTTTAGTTTTATTTTTATATTTTATTTAATTTCAATTTTATTTTAAAAAATTAACATTTTCACTTTTTATCTTATTTTTTTATTATTTTATAAATAATAAAAAATAAATTTAGATATTCGAGCTAAGTTCATTCAGGTTTAAGCTTGCCTTGAATTTCTTTGAGCTTATTTGGCGACCTAAATAAACTCAAAGTAAATAAAATTTTTTAAACTTTTAAGTTCAGTCTTAAAATTTTTCAAACTTATTCAAATTGACCCATCAAATTTAACTCAAATTATTATCTCTATTGGGTGGTAGTTAAGTGATTTTAACTAACATGCCATTCTGCTCAACCTCAAACATTTAAAAAAAAAAAAACCTTTTTGGTCCTTTAATTAAAGGAGCTAAGGTCTTGGTACACGCTTCACTTCTTTAGTCCATAGATCTTTGATTTCTAGATAGCTAAGGAGGATCATTGACGCTCAATCTATCTTGGATAGGACTCTCAAGATTAAATATTTTAACCTCAATTCATAATTAATGACCAAGAAACCTTACAACTCCTCTTGGTTTTGAAAGGGAATATCTTCTCGTCTATTGATTTAATTATTTCAAAATTGCAATGTTGGTTCTAATTCTAGAATTTCAATCAATCATGTTGCTTGGAATTAAGAGCTTTTAATGTGCCTTAATCTAATGCCCTTTATAATAGCTCCAACTTTCTAATTTAATTTTTTTTAATTATTGACTTCTATATAAAATAAAAAATATCTTAATATCTTGACGTTCTAAAATAGTAGATATTTTTTTTAATTTTTTAGAAATAAAAGGATGTAATTGTGATATTTTTATTTAAAAAATTATAAAAAAAATATAAATTTTTATCATTTTGGAATTTCATAATACCAAAATGTTTCTTATTTATGTAGAAGCTAATAATCTAAAAAAAAGAAAAATATAAAAGATGATAGAAAAGGATACATTAAAAACTCCTGAGCCCATTATTTAGTATCTATCAATGTTTTCTTTTCTTAAGGATCTCATTGAGAAACCTCTTGCAATAAAACTCTAATTCGGCCTCTTCATAATAACTAGGTTGCTTGTTCTATCATGAACACCTCTCTTTTATTTACATAGCATCATTTGTCACTTATTTGGGGTGGTTCTAGCAATGCAACTATAGGAAAAAAAGATGGATATAATATGTTACACTCAAAATAGTTTTAATCAATGTTTTAAAAATCAAATCAGACAATGAACCAAAAATATAAATGGGTCACGAGTTTTATGGTTGAACCGGTTAGACCGGTGGTTGAACCGGTGATATAATAATTAAATAAAAAATAATATTTATATACATATATATTTAAAAACGGGTCAAAACGGTTCAACCACTCTTGGTTTCGAGTTTTTGCTCTGGGTCTTCAAAAATCACCCGAGTCAAAGCGGGCCAACCCGGGTCAACTGTTAGAACGGGCCAAATAATTGAACCAAATTGTTTTCTTCTCCAGATGATAGTTCAACCGGTCCGACCATCCAGGTTAATCCGGATCTTAAAACACTAGTTATAATTATCCTTTTGTCCAAAGTTCTTTATATATGGTCTTTTCTGCGGAAACCTTTCCATGAAATTTCTCTTGTTCATTTGGAAACTTATTCACTAAGCCATCACTATTGGTGACATCCTCAAAAAACGTCATCTTCCTAATGGGAACCAATGTCTTTTTGGTCTGTTCATATGATGAAACTTTGAATCATGTGTCAACTTTACATGTCCTTTATCTAGATCATCATAGTTTTCCCATTTATCTATGTGGATCTTTCTTCCTTCAATCAACCTAATAGAGTTACTTCACTCTTTCCAACAGAAAAAACAAAAAGAGCCACATTGATTATATTAGACAAATCTTATTCTTCTCAAATCAACTCTTTCTAAGTAATATAGGCTAACAAAACATGTAATTTATCAATAGAGTTAGTGATACAGATGAATTCGTGGGTTGAAAAAAATTACTTCTTAACAACTTAGTATTTTACCAACCCACGCTCACAAAAGTGGGTTGGCAGGCCAATTTGTTAATAATATTATTTTAAAGTTTTGTTTTAAAAAAATTCACAAATTCATACCTTTAGTAGCCTCTTGGTATCACATGCTATCTTATCTTGGCAATAATGAAAGGTTGACTGATTTTATTTTGGCAAGTCACTTCTTCTTTAACCTCAAAAGCATGCATCTCTCTCCCACGCCCATCAAGCCCATCAAACATCATCGTCTTTTCTTCCATTAAAGTCCAGTTTTGCCGTCGTGCTATTCCGAAAAAGAATTATTATGAATGTAAAGCACAATCACCATGGCTGCTTGAGGTGGTTTCGGACTTCAATAAGAGTAGTGGTGTGAGCGTGACTAGCAGCACTAAAGATCATATTAAGGATACATCTAAGTTGATGGATAGTTCTTTGATCAAGACAAGGAAGAGTGAAAAGAAAAAAAAAAAAACTTCCACCGTCTTGTATAAGAAATTTGTTATTTAATTGAAATCATTAAATCACAATCATTTTTAAATTTTGCCTCTAATATCGTCAATTAATATCATGATAGTGATAGATAAAATACACAATTAATATCTCTTTCATTTTTTTATAACAAGAACAAAATTGTTTAATTACTCAAAAATATCATGACACTCTTTTTTTAAGAGACAATATAAGTTTCTATAAAAACATCTTATACCCTATATATAGGGACGAAAAGAGCAAGTGAGTTAGCTCATCGAAGGTTCAAGTTATATAGTGTGGATAAAAAAGACCCGCATCTAAATGAGCCCATTTTTTTCAACCTGACCCACCACTATTTGGCAGGTTGAACTTACTAGCTCAACACTTATTGCCTGCTCTACCCATTGGTGCGGTCTTGTAATCCTTATTTAATATCTTCAATTTTGGGTTAGAGCGTATGGATGAAGAGGGTGAAAACAAATAATTTGACTTTATACAGAATCATATAATACAATGAAATTCTGACTCATGACTCAATTTTATTCAATCTCTTTTGCCTTAAAGCTGCACTTTGGTGGATCAAGAACTTTTGTAACAATTAGTCAGTTAATTAAAGATCAAACTCCTCTCTACTACATCTAATTTGCTTCAGAAATT